CACCTCCGAGATACAACCCTTAATCCAATTAATAAACCCATCCGGAAATCCTTTCTATTTCATTCTGTTAAGAAGGAAAGTACGAGAAACAGAGTCAAAAGCCTTCTTGATATCAAGCTTGGCACAAAAATGCTTATGTTTGTCTTTGAACTCCCTCAAGACTTCAGAAGCTAAAATAATGTTGTCCGTAGAGCATCTATTAGAAATGAAACCCGATTGGCTCTCATTAATAATCAGGGGAAGGATAGGTTTTATTCTGTTGGCAATGATTTTAGCCACAATCTTATAAAAAACATTGCAAAGGGAGATTGGCCTAAAATCAGAAATGTTGTTAGAATGAGTTCCCTTAGGAATCATAGTGATAGCCGTTGTTTTTGTCCCTTTGGGCATGTTACCAGAAATAAAAAAGTGCTTAACTACTCTACACAGGTGATAACCGATAATGTGCCAAGTCTTTTGGTAAAAACCAAAAGAAAAACCATCTGGTCCAGATGCAAAAGTGGGTTTACCCTAAAAAACCACCTTCCTAATCTCTTCATTAGTCACCGGGTTGATCATGGAAGGAATTAAATGAATAGGGATCAAATTCCCAGCAGTGATGTTGTATGAATTTTCCAAAGGGGGTTTGGGAGAGTTGTAAAGATCCCTAAAATGACTAATAAGAGCTTGAGCCATGCCTTCATGTGAGGTAACAATCCCATAATCAGTAGAAAGAGCTTTGATAGAATTCCAGTTAATCCTAGATCTGATCTTGGCATACAGAAATCCAAGATCATCTTCACCCTGGGTCAGCCAATACGCCTTGGCTCGCTGAGATATCCAAGAAAACCAAGCAAGCTGAAATGAGGCTAATCTATCATTAGCATCCTTGAGAGAGACATTTAAAGCAGGGTTTAAGGGGTCCAATTGAATACTAGATAAGCATTGCTGCTGAATGCTTTTAATTTCTAAAATCCCATTGGAAATGAAGCTAGAGGAGTTCCAATCCTTCCCACGGATAGCCATTTTAAGAAGTTTCAAATAGTCATAAAAGAAAGCAATAGGGCTAGCACAAACATTTCTATTGAAAACTTTAAAAACCTCTTCCCAAACTCCTCAAAATTAGTCCAAAAACCTTTGAACATGAATCTAGAAAAATTTCTTTTTAAGTGAGCAGCAAAAAGAATTAAAGGGGAGTGGTCCGACCCATTAGGATTATCAACTTTGTAATAAGCTGCTGGGAAAAGATCCAAAAAAGCAGGAATAACCAGAATTCTATCAAGCTTGATGTGAATAGGATTGTCAGACCTCTGGTTAAACCAAGTATAATACAGTCCCACTGAAGCCAGATCTTGTAGACCAGAGTCAAAGACAAAGTTGTTAACTTCACCTAATCTATCAGCAGACAGAGAATTACCACCGCCTTTCTCTCCTTGAAACCTACAGCAATTGAAATCCCCCATGACCAGCCAAGGCAAATCCCCATTCGTCGAAAAAATTATCAAATCATCCCACAGAGCTTTCCTTTCAACCAAATCATTAGCAGCATAGACCACAAAGAGGATAATAGAAGGAAGGGAACCAGATTCTAGAATGTCGTGAATCACTTGAGAAGAGGTGAAAGAAGGTTTGAAAGAAACCTAATAAGAGTCCCACTTAATCCAAATTCTGCCAGGAGAAGAACAGGAAAAGTTATCGCAGCTCATCTCATTATCGAAAATGGCATGAGTAAAGAAAAACCAAGGGTCAGTAGCAGCAGTTTGATGAATTTAAGCTTCTAAAATACAAAGAAGCTTAAGACTATAGGTGGCAATGAGGTCTTTACAATACTTGGCCTTGATAGGGTTGTTGAATCCCCTAACGTTCCAAGCAGCAATGGCAGGCAAGGACATGGATTACTTTGGTTTTTTGGCCTTCTTGGCCATTTTTGGCTTTGGTTTATTGGCAGGCGATTCAATAAAATTAGAAGGAGGTTTGGAGGAAGACGGGGAAGCTTTAGAGCTAGAGGAGGCAGGGGCAACATCATGAGTCCTAGATGTGGAAGAACAATCTCCATCAATATTAACATCAACGGGATTGTCAGGAGTGTCCACAGACAGAGCAGCAAAGATGTTGGCTAAGATGACTTGGGATGGTTGTAACAACAGGTGAGGGAAGGGATGTTCGGATGAAGAGGCTTCTTCGTGAGGTAAATTAAGGTTGAGAATAGGGGGCACATTGATAGGAGAGTGAGAGATGATTTTAGCAAGATTTGGTTCTGAAGGAGGAAGTTCCATAAGTGGAATAGAAGGAGAGGCATTAGTGGGTAGAGCCGGTTCAGTGGCGTTGGTGGGTAGAGCCAGTTTGGAGGAAGGAAAACCAGTGGTGGAAGGAATAACATTGGAGTTGCCAGCATTTCTGGAAGCTGACCTAGCGGTGGGAGCACGACTTTTACTTCTGCCCCGAAGAATAGGCTTAGGAGGAAGAGAAGGTTTCGGATTTGGGTTTGAGGGACAAAGAGCAAAGGAGTGAATGATGGAGCCGCAACCTTCACACTTAGAAGGCTTCCAATCATAAACAACTTTGAGATTTAGATCTTCACCATCAATCTCCAAAGGAATTTCATCCGGCAAAACAGAGGACTTATCGACTTGCACACATACACGAGCAAAAGTAAGCCTCGTTCTCTTAGCTGTAAGGGAGTCTACATAAAGAGGGATACCGACGTAGCTAGCAATCTTAGAGATACCTGAAGGGGTCCAAAGAGCAAGAGGAAGGTTAAGAATTTTGACCCACAGAGGAATCGCCGCTGTTTCATCCCGGCGCGGCTGAAACTTCGGAGACCATTTCTGCAGGAAAAACGGTTTGCCAAGCAGGAACCAGGGGCCACCCGACCAAATCATATCATAGTTTTCAACAGAGGTGAACTTCAACAGGAAGAAGTCGTCAGCTAGGGAAATAAGCGAGAAAGAGCCCTTGAGCTTCCAAGCTTTGTTCATGGCCACCAAAAGCCTTTCGTAATAAGGCCTTTGACCCAGCGAATATCCCACCAGAGAGAGATCCCACAATCCCTTACCTTCAGTAAACTCAGAGGTCGCAAATGAAAGCTTTTTGGTATGGTTGACAAAAGACATCGGCCAATCTTCCCGGGATGAAGGAGCCGCCATGAGATTGTTGGCATAAGACATAGCCAGAGGAGGGGGAGGAGCAGCGCCAAGCAAGGAAGAAGACCCCGGAAGGGGGGAAATCAAGTGGAGAAGCTGCCATCTCGGCCAGAAGGCCGGTGGAGAAAAAAACACCAAAGCGCGCCAAAACTCTAAAAACCTAGAGCTTCTCTCTCTAAAAACAAATAGAGAGAAAAAAATCAAAGCCGCAATCGCAAATTATTGAAACAACACTATCCTACATAAAAACAATAAAATGGAAAAATACATAAAAATGAACAAAGAGCTTCCGTGATGGTTACCGAGCAGGAAAAGAGCAAAACCAAGGAGGTGCGCAGATCAAGGTAGCATATCGATGGAAACGAAAAGGAAACCCCAAGAAGAACGCTAGAGGGAAGAAGCCTAGCGGAGCTCTTGGAAGTCAGATAATCACTTGAAATAGAGAAATTACAGCTCTGGATCATTTGAACACTCTACCTCAAGATATTTATACTTAAAGAGTAGCAAAAGGAGTTATAATTTTCCTTATAAATTTTGGAAATGCTTTGTGATTTAAAAAAAAATGGAAGATTTTCAAGCTTTAATGGCTTCATGTAGTCAGATAATCACAATTTTTTTTTACATTTTATTGTGAAAATAAGAATGTAGAAATATAAAAAATTAAATAAAACTATGTATATATATATATATATATATATAATCAAAACTAAAAAATTACTTTGCTTAAGAAACATAAAAATTAAAATTGAAATGCACATATAGGTGCATTCATGTGCCTGACAAAGGGGTAAAATGAGCCGAGTCAACTCCCGAGCTGACTCGAGCTTAACTCGTTAACGAGGGGATGCTCGGCTGCAAAATCGTCAACCGCGGAAAGTAGGCTCAGATGCAAAATCAAACGACCAAAAAGACGGTATCGCTAGGTGTGAAGGAGAAATTGTGGGCAAGCTCAGACATAGGATGCAGGCAGAATCAAAGCTCGGATGTGGGCAGACATGGATGCGGTCTGGGTGCTCGAATGTGGGATGCAGGATGCAAGAATCAAAACTAGTATATGGGTGGGGCTCATAGCTCAAACATGGGATGCAAGGGTAAGCGGATGCGAAACTCTAAATAAATTTTTAAATTGATTGAGTTGGCATTTTTAGGAAATTTTTAATTCAAATATTTATGTTATTGGCTAATCATCAAAATAAATTTATCTGAAATTTAATAAATATAAATTTTAAGCTTCCTTCACTATCTTCTTATTAGAATTAATCATAACATCATAATTAAGAAACATATCAATATTTTTGCATTATATTTACATGTAACACATCATATATATCATCCAATTGGAGATTTAAGAAACTTAAATTAAATGAAAAAATAATGCTATCTAAATTTTAAGAAAAAAAAATCATATATGAATATTTGATATATCAATTACTAGAGAAGTGAAACCATATAAAATCAAATAATTAATCAAAATGAACGCCTAAAAATAAAAATTAGAAAAAATTATCTTAATCTAAATTTTAATACACTTAATTTAGCCAAATTATTCCGTGTATTCATCTCTCTTTCAATATTCGAGATTGACATCCAACACTTACAATACAACATTCATACAATAATATTTATCTAGTTCAAACAATAATAAAGATATCTCACGCACTAATAAGACAAATCATTTGATGAAGATTCATAAATTTCTTTACATAAAGTGTCGCAACATATCCAAATTATTGGATGAGTTATAACTCAAAATTTATTTGGGATATCTCTCTTAGCTACTTTATTTTTTAGATCCCAACTACAATTTTATTTAACTACTGCTTTCTAACTTCTTTCGAGAAATCTCTATGCTAGAAAGCCATTTTTTTACTACAGCTTTATAAAACAAAAATATTTTCTCATAATAACTTTATAATCAACTTCACAAAAAATTGTAGCTGCTCCAAACAGACCCTTAATAACTTGTAGGACCATAATTTTTTCCAGGCCAAATAGAATTGATGTAAATATCAAATAAATTTAGACACTCCACATCGATTTGGGAATTTGGAGTCTTATGAATTTCCCCAACTGCTTCAGGCTGGGTGCTATCTTGCGGTGTTTTGGTGTTTGGAGAAAGTAAGAATCTGCATCCGGAACTTGGTTCTTGAAGTTTGCTGATTGATCAGTCTGAGAATTGAGGACAAGAAGATCTAAGGGCAGCTTCTGGAAAATTGAAAGTAAAAAATTTGAAGCATCCTATTGGGTTAATGTTATTGCAAGACTCTTATAGAAAACAACACAGATGTGAAGTAGTTGTTTTATGCTCATAATTTTATCCTGAGGAACATGTTTGGCAGGAGGCCACAGAGCTGTGGCGAAAATTCCCAACCTGTAATAAGAGGAAGGAAAATTTCAGAAGAAATGTTACAGAAAGTTAAATTTTCATGATAAAGATAAAGAAAGACTGAAATATAACTTAAGATGATCGAAATCAAAATGATAAGCTCTCAAGTGAAGTTTCCCATTTCTATTTGCATTTCGCTAAGCAAATCTTCTTTTAAGATTTCCAATTTCAAATATCTTTTGAGCTTTCTGTATGGAATCTCATTCTGATGATGGGAACGAAAGTTTTAAGCTGAAATGGCCAACTGAAGAATGAAGATGGCAGAAGAAAGTAATTGAAGTTGCTGCATTTGGTAGACAAGAGGCAGGGGCCAGGCCCCAGAAAACAACAATATTATGGTTCTTGTTGTTAGCCTTATCCTAGATATTTGAGGTCAGCTTTTTCTCCATTTCATTTTGTTAAGAACTGCAATTAGAGTTAAATCTGTTCAGCATGATATTTCAGTAAAATGGTAATCCTCATTTGCTCCTTTTCTTGCTAAGCCTGTTCACATTAACCCTATCACATTAGCCCAATTGAGTTGCCCTTTGATTTAATTTAGGATGGGACTTACGGTTCTGTGTAGGAGTTGCCCGTAGATTTAGTTTAGGGATTATTACTTCATTTAGAAATTTTTCAAACAACAGGTCTTACTTCTTTCATTGAAAGTTGCCTATGATTTACATTTGTGATAGGTCTTACTGTTTCTCTTTAAAGTTGCCTGTAGCCTTTTGACTTAGGATTTGTTGTTTTACTTAGAAGCTCCCCAACAAATTAATTTGAGTAGGACTTACTGTTTTCAATGAAAGTTGCCTATAGCTTTGACATTTGAAGTTGGGATTGGTTAATTTGAGTAGGTCTTAGTGCTTTCATCGAAAGCTGATTTAAGTTTTTAGATTTGAAGTAGATTGGGATTGGTTACTTCACTCAGATGTTTACCCAATGAATTGATTAAGAACAAGTCCTACAATTTTCATTGGAAGTGGCCTGCTTAGTTTGAATTTAATTTAGGATTAGGGTAAGTTCATTTAGAAGTTCCTCTAATACATTGCTTAAAGTAGGTCTTACTATTTCCTATGAATTTTTTTTTTTTTCTTATGAAAGTTGCTTGTTTAGTTTGAATTGATTTAGGGTGAGTTAGTTCTCTTAGGACAGGCTGATTGCGGTGTGTGGGCAGACGTCAAGTGTGACTACACATGGGGTAGGATCGAAAGTGAACAGGCCGCCCGGATGTGCGTGCGTGGGAGACAGAAGGAAGGCACACGGGCAGGGCTAGTCACGAGCGCATGCAGGCAGGTCGCATGCGCAGGGTTGGTCGCGAGCGTGGATTGGTCGTGGGAGTTGGTCAAGCGAGCCACACAAGGCGTTGGCGTTAAGCGCAGGCAAGGTGCGTGGACACAAACATGCAAAACTGGGTGCGCAGGGAGACCGCGCCACAGGCATTTGTCTACGTGAGCATGCATGATGTTTGCTGTGTGATGCAATTTTGTGCTAAAGCAAGGCCCGAGTCAAGAAAGGTGGAAGACGAAAGCGAAAGGAACATGCTAAATGAGGGTAAGTCTTTTTATTTTTCATTTCATTTCTTGTTGTTTTGTCTAATTGGAGAGATGCATTGCTTTGGAATCGACCAGCCTGTTTGACTTTCCTCCTTTTTTTATCTTAATTATTTCAATAAAATTTTCCTAATGAATTTTTAGTGCATTTTCACATAATGAATTCGTTATAACAATCACTGAACATTTTACTTTTGTCATTTCTCTCTTTCTTTTTAAGGTTATGATGTTTAATTGGGTTATTACTCTCAGACTATGTCACAATGACGATAGTTCTTTATAGAGGATTATTGAGGGATTGAGTTATGGTGATCAAAATGTACTTAAACATGTAGTAGATTTTGTAGATTACATGTGTTATCCTATTATTGAGTTACCAGTTACTATACCATGAGATTTTGCACACAGCAGACAAGTAGCAATCAATTCAGACTTTGATAGCTTCTCTGCATCTTTCTAGTGAGTATATATGTGTTTTATTAATTATCTTTTATTTTGTTTTGCTGAGTGATATTTAGACTGTCTTTTAAACTTTATTAAAATAGGTCAACCCTTAGATTTGTGAGCATATAAAATTTTAAGAGGTTCGACCTAAAAAGACTTGGTTAGAAAATATTAGAAATGACTCTTTTTATTAGATTTAGATGAGAATTTGACTTTTAACAGGACACAATAAAGAAAAAGGATTCATGCAGCCGACCCTATATAATGGGATGAAGGCTTGTTGTTGTTGTTCTTGTTGTTGATCTTTAAACTGATTGAACCTATATTTTGACATTTTAGTCTCAATCCTTTCAATTGATTAATTTTAGCTCAACCCTCAAGTTTGTGAGTATGAAAATTTTATAAAGGTTAGATCCTTAGACTTATTAAACCTATATTTTGACATTTAATCTCAATCATTTAGATTTATCAATTTAGCTCGACTCTTAGATTTGTAAGCAATAAAAAAATTTCATACAGTTTCACATAGAGCTGCAAACGAACTGAGCTGAATAGAGCCGAGCCGAGTATGTGAGTGTTCATGTTTGAGATCATTTATTATTAGCTTATTTAAATTTGGTTCATGTTTGATTCGAGATTTATTGTTGGTGTTTATGTTTGGTTCGTTTAAATTAATGAGTGTTCATATTTGGTTCATGTTTGATTCATTTAGTGCTTATCGAGCTTTAAACAAACAAGTCTTAACGAACTATAAATGAGCTCTACTTCTAGATGTTCATTAACTTAACAAACGAGCTTTATCGAGCCTCCTAACAAATAATTACATCGAGCATGTTTGTGAATATATTTAGCAAATTTTTTTAAACTATCAAACAAGCACGTTCATAAACAAATCTAACGAGTATTCTTGATCTATCAAATGAGCAAGTTCATAAACATATATAACTAGTTTTGTTGAGCTATCAAATGAGCTCGTTCATGAACAAGCGATCTATAATTCATCTTATATTTGTTCATGAGCATTTTAAACAAACAATCTAGCAAATATAGACAAATGTGAAATATCTCTTTTTCATGAACAAATTCATTCTATTGAAGATATAAAATAAAATGAAATAAAAATAGTTGTCTATGTAAAATGAAAATAAGATTAATATATATGAATATATTTTCAAATGAAGCTTACCTGATGCATTTCTCTCCATTTGATACAACAACTGAAAGATGATCTTCAACATTCATAGAAAGACTTCAATGGTACTGTTAGCATATATTATAGTATTTAATTACTTTAAATTTTATTATCTAATAATAATTATATGGTTATAATAAATATAAATATTTATATTATGTATATTTGTCAATTTTATAATCAAATATTTATTGAGTTTTTATCGAGCTTATTTACGAGTTCTGATTGATCGAACACGAATCCAGCTTTTATCGAGTTTCTTATCGAGCTTAACGTCGAGCTTGTTCACAAGTTTCAAATGATGTTGTTCATTAATATAAATGAGCCGAACACATTAGTGTTCAAGCTTGTTGATTTAAGGATTGAGTATTTAAAATATTGTTCAAGTTTATTTGTTTAGTTAATTGAATGATCACAAAAAAGCTTTAATTGAACCAAGCAACGAGTAGCTCGTCGAACGTTTGGTTTGCTTGCATGCCTAATTTCACATATAATTGCCTCCCCTTATCTGGAAAGGGGCATATTAAAAAATTTGCCTCCTGGTTTGCAAGAGCATATGGAAAATACCTCCTGCTTTGTAGGAATATATAAAATTTACCTCTTGTCTTACAGGAATGGATTAAAATTGTTTCCTTCCTTTCAAGGGTATATAAAAGTTGTCTCATGTTTTACAAGAGTATATGTGAATTGCTTCATGTCTTGCAAAAAGTCATATAAATTGCCTCACGTCATGTAGGAGGATATATAAAATGTCTCTTGTCTTGTAGGAGTATATGTAAATTGTCTCCTATCTTGCAGGAGTATATTTAAATTTGTTTCATATTTTGTAGAAGAAATTCAAGCATAACACCCTTTTAATTAGATTGTTATGTATGATATTTTTTAAGTATTAACTATTGATCGATGGTATAAACCATTGACCTATTAGGCCTATATATTGATAGGGTCGTACATATACTTTTTCAACAATGAAAGGTCTTTTCCAAATTGGGTCAATTTACCACCAAGGTGACAGTGAGGGATTATAAATCTTCGACGAACAAGTACAAGTTCATCTTCTTTAAAGCTTCTAGGATAAATCATCCAATCATGAGCCTTAGCCATTCTTACTTCATAGGTTTCTGAACTTTGTTGTGCTTTAAGTTAAACTTCATCAAGGGCTACAAGCTCCTTGAGTCATAGGCAATTATTTTCTTCTTTGGAGATTTCGTGTTACATAGCAATACAAAGTGATGGTAATTCAACCTCAAGATATAATATTGCTTCTGTCTCAAAAGCTAATGAATATGGGGTAGTCAGTGTCATAGTTTTATAAGTGGTGCGGTGCGATATACTCATAGAGCTTCATTAGTTTATCATGTCACACACTTATTTTTAGAGAAAATTTTTTTGAGCAATTTTATAAAATTTTATTAAAAACTTCGGCCAAGTTGTTGCCGCTTAAGTTATATATTGAGAAAAATGGCAATCTATTTTATGTCATTCGACAAATCGGTAGATTTTAGCACTTTTAAAGGTTGTGTCGTTGCCTGATATGATTCGATGCAGCACCCCAAATCGATAAACAATATGATCTCGGAAGAATTTCATCACATTGTTTGCTTTAACTTCTCTCAAGAGAATTACTTCACCCATTTTAAAAAATAATCAGTGACAACAAGGATGAATCGATGCCATAAAAAAGATGGTGGCTATATAGGACCAATTACATCAATGACCCAGCCCTCAAATGGCCATAATGCTACTGTAGGCTATAGCGGGTTAGGCGGTTAATGCATGATATCCACATGCACTTGACATTGATAGCATTTATTAGC